ATGCAAGGAAATTAATTCACTTCGAAAAAAGAAGTGAGAAGCACCCCAAAAGGGAGTCCACCTTAGATACCTACAAAGATGATGCCTTCCAATGGGCGGACCATCCAATATGAAAGAAGCCCTTAACATGGAAGAGCCATCCCCATATAAGGAAGTATTCTTTGCACCGTGATGGAAAAGGTGTGATTCAACTCCAAAGGGGACCCACCTCAAAACTTGGGAGGTGTCAACATAACATTTTATCAAATTGATCGAAGTGTCTAACACAATTGAAAATTGGCACTCCACCTCGTAAAGCTTTTTCTTCAATTAGGCTACTTCAGCTTTAGCTTTTTGACACTTTCTTTCAAGCTATCCCCGCTTCAGCTTAGATTGTTAAGCTTGGTATTGCCCCTCCTTACCTTATGTCTATAGTTAGAGGTAACCTCGAGGCAACAAGCCAAATCCTAGTTTTTTATTTTTTAGGTCTCTTTTCGGACCTTCCGCGGCCACGCTAATGCTCAATGTCTGGGCTATACATCTATTGTTGCCGTAGCCACTCTTCCATCCCGTATTTTAGTATGAACTATCGTGGTTGAGGCAGTGTTAGGTGAAAGCATCTCAAGTACTACAGCTACCAGCTCATTGGAACTACTACCCAAAAAGTGTTGAGATTTATCCAAGAGTAGAAGATTAGCAGATTTTTTTCTTCAGGAAGGATGAGAAAGAGCAGTCTATTTTAACTTCTTCGAGGCCTCATCAGCATAGGTCGATTTTTGTTGGTCCTTTCTTCATATGTTCCACTTCTTCTTCATCTGACTGTTCATCATTAGAAGAAAGTCTTTTGATCATTTATACGAGCTACTCGATCTGCTTCTTGTAGGCTGTAGAAGTTGTTTTCAACATAAAATCCTCAACCACACTTTAGCGTATAGTGGCGAATTCTAGCTTCAACGGCTTTTTGTTCAAGAAATTTTCTACAAAAAGTACCTAGTATTGTGACATCAAATAATATAAATGAATGATAAAACAACCATTATGATACTCACTCCGAGTAGCTAGCAACCCGTTTGCGATGAAGTGGATATTTTTGTCTACTAGCTTATTGTGATGTCGCTCCTTGAAAGGAAGTTGGTAAATGGAATGTATGATGTCCCACTACTCAAAGCTGATTTCACACCTCATTGACAAATCTACAAATGTGAACAATAAAAATGGTTAAGTATTGGTAACAAAGTAGAAATAAGCGACATCAGTTCGGTAATGAAACTCACTTGCAATTGAATATGTTGTGGGAACTATCAAGAGTGCCATGGGGTCACCCACCATGGTATTGTACCAACCTGAAACCATGAACCAGCTCCACTTTCAGTCTTTGACGGAGGTTGGTAGGCCCACCAAAAAGGGAAAATGAGCTCTCCATGACGGCTAGCAATCTTTCTTCTTTTTAGCCTCCCGTAAGGTTTTGTGATATATATGGAATGGAAGACAAAGACAGGCATGTCTACCCCAATGCTGAACTTCCTCAATAGCTTTTACAACCTAACCTTTGGCTCAATAAATTTGGATTGAGTTAGGCTGGAGCTAGTCCATAGGACCTCAATAGTAAGTGAAAGAAAGAATGTAGGGGCATACTAAGGCTGGCTATGAAGAGGTGTTCACTCGCGGCAACGCACCTCGGCCTCGGGTAACAAGCCCTCTCATGGGGTCGAGAATGATCAACTCAATGTTTTTAGGGCTCCTACAAATCTCCCTCATTTTCTCAAGTTTGGCTACAGTAATGTTTGAAGGGTTGTCTAAGCCTCCCATTTGACAAAGGTGTCAACAAGAGGAGGTAACCTCTATTATGTTCTTCCCTGACCTAATAGCCCTACTTATCTCTTCAGAAGAGAGAATAGTGAGCTCCCTAATTTTCGACGTGATCAAGGTCAAACTATCCTCCCTCACTTGGCAGAACCACTTCCAGATACCCAAACATGTTTTTTACAAACCTAGGCAATTATGACCTACGCGACAAATGTCTTGGAAGTAGGCGATGCCTAAGCTAGTCTTCTTGGAAATATACAACAACTTTCAAATCATTGGCACAAAACTCCTAAATGTCTCATCGATTCAGAGGTATGCAATCACATCTACCTCAACGGTCGAATTTTTTGGATTATCTCGCCTTTGCCTACTAGTTTTCTCAAAGCTTCTATCTTTCATAGACTCGTCCTCAAGTAAGGACCTCGCCTCTACCATCACAATTTTTGTTAAAGCCTCTATCTTTCAGAGATTCATCCTCAAGCAAGGACCACATCTTTGCTATCATAGCTTTTCTCATAGCTCTATCTTTCTGAGTCTCGTCCTCAAGCAAGTCCCTCGACTATGCCATCATAGCTTTTCTCGAATTTTCTATCATTTAGAGCCTCGTTCTGAAGCAAGGATCTTACCTTTGCCATCACAACTTTTCTCAAAGCCTCTAGCTTTCAGAACCTCGTCCTCGATTAAACGCCTCTCCTATGTATCTTTTGCATAGCTTCTAGAGAAGGTATTCCAATTCACTTCTACAGTTCCAATTCCATACACTATATAAATATACATGCCTAGACTTATGGGAGTATTGTATTGTGTTCAAATGCACAACTACGCAGCGAAAGAAAGATAAGATGCTCCACACCAATGCAACATCTCAACGATGAGCTTCCACCCTATATTGAAAGTGCACACATTATATGAATATCCATATATGGACTTAAGAGACTATTGTTACGCTTCTTTTGACGATACTTAATATCGCCTTGACATGGTAGCCAACTAGCAAGCCAACAAGGCCCACACTCCACGCGTCCTCCTACCTAGCCGAGGTGAGGTCATATATAAGGTAGCCTAAGTGATGCACCACCCCGTCTGAGGTGCCGTGTAGAGGCCGACCTCCATAGCTTAGGTGAGGTGCTACGTATGCTGCTAGGAAAGAATTTGAGGTAGCCAACCTCCTCATTTAACCAAAGGTACCTCCCACTTCATATCTTCCTTCAGGAGATCTTGTACAAAAGATCTAAGTTCGATTGATTGATTTAACATCTCCGCAGCAGTCATCTAAATGTCAAATCTTTAGTCTATAAATCATAGGTCAGACCAAGGCATTAGGATGGCTACTTTTCATAAATATTAAATGTCGTCCAACCTATGATGGATGGATTGACACGTAGGAATGGACGCCTCGACCATGAGAATGAGGCCACCTGTCTTTCTATCCAACGGTCAGCATCACACTTTTTCTACTATAAAAGCTTGCACCTAGTGTCATTTGAAGGTAATGCAATTTTATATACTCAAACTATAAACTTGCTCTCATTTTTGTCTATATAGTCTTCCGGGTCCGACCCTTCAACAGTTAGTGGCTCGCTCTTAAGCACGTTTTACACCCAAGTACTTATAAATTGTTTGACTCGATCATCGTAATACTTGCGACCGTCTCCCTCGATACTGGAAAAGGTCACGCTTGAATTAAGATTTGTCCAAGTGTACATGAGTAAAATTTACGTGAACGTGAAATGAGTAAGAATCTGTTGGCCACATCCTCTACACAAATTATGGTCAACAATAAAAGAAGAGTCGGGACAAGGACAACGCTCAATGAAGTAGAGAATCTTCGCCCCATCTGGAGAAAACTGCAAGACAAATCGGCATGGGGCATTTGCCATATCTATCCAAAAATCCTATTTTAGCACCCCATCAAAACTGATTTCGCCATTAACTATAATTTCTTCTCCAGACTTCATCATCACCCCCACCTAATCTCACTATGTTTAACATTAAATTAAACTGAAAGCAATATGAAATTTAAGTAAAGATACAATAGTCCCCTATCTTTCAAATAAAAAAAAAAAAATAGATCATGCATGACCACATACTGCACAGAAGGGACCACAAATTAGAAGAACTCGTATGAACCACTTTTAAACTGGAAATATAACGTAATTTCCTACAAAACGCGTCTTTGACTACATTAGGCCATTATGTTGCATGTTTGTATATTAGTCCAATAGTCCTACTTTCTAGACATGCAATCCTTTGATAAGTGCTTATTTAAGAAACTGTTGCGTATTAAACTAAACTTTAAACTTGACTATAGTAAGAGGACAAAGAAATCATAATATAATGGATAAATTTCATTGGTGGTTACTGAATTTTCAGCAAAACCTCAATAGGGGCACTAAAGTTTACTTTGTAACTAATAATTTGTCTCAAGTTACTAAACTTCAATTTAATTTTAAATTTCACTAATGTGTTACTTATAATCTTCAAAATTGAAGAAAGTTGCTTAATTGACAATTATACAGTAATGGATCTTCCATGTAATCGTTGTGTACCATGCCAGTTTACCATTACTTCTTGTCATCTGTAATCTTTTTGAATCTAAAGACAATATGATAAACCCTCATTCTACCGCTTTCCTTTTTTAGTTACCATACGGAGCCAACTAAGCAGTTTCCTTCAATTTGGGGATGCTATGTGAAAGAGTGATGAAATTTGAACGTAAATTTCTTTTTTAAGGTGCCACGTAGCATCAGTTACTATATGACTGTCAACTAAGCAATTTCCATCAATTTTGGACATGATATGGACGATAATATGAGACAAAATGGTGAAATTTGAACTAAATTAAAGTTGAGTTGTCACAGTGAGATTTAACTAAAAGTTCAGGAACTGCGGAGAGAATTTATCCTTATTTAATTAATCAAGTAGGACATCACAGCAGTTGTAACTTGTATCTTCTGTTATAGCTCAGAAAATTACATGTAGATTCCTCTAAAATTCAAAACATTGTGTAATTTCCTTGGTGGATGAAATCAGTCCTACATGACTCAAAGTTTTGTCTTACTAATTTTTGGCAATTTAAGAGGTACTTAAAAAATTAAACAGTGAAGACGAAACTACTTGCTCAATTACTCAGAAAATACCTGTATCATACAAGTGCTAATATAAATTCAGTAGTTCATGTTAATAAAGAAGGTTAAGAAAGCATTGAGTTACAAATGTCTGTGCCGAAGTATCCTGGGTTGTCCGAAGAAGTTGAGGAGAATTACGAGACTGCAGAAACTATGGACCCCGAGCTATACAGGGCGACAACAGACGGTGACATTCTTGAATTCGTGAGGGCAATGGAACATGTGGCGGTCGAGCATCACGATCCACCGGCTACCTGTGTCCAACTTGGGCCTCAAAAGACGACAGTTCTGCATATAGCAACGAGCTTTGGGCATCACGAAATTGTTAAACTTATATGCAAGGATTTATCTTTCTTGGTTGCTGACAAGAATGCGAGAGGAGATACCGCACTCCACATTGCAGCAAGAGCTGGAGATTTACTGATGGTGCAGCTATTAATTCATTCAGATTACAAAGAAGGTGGCTTAGGAGAAAAGAATGAGAAAGGCAATACGGCTCTACACGAAGCTTTGAGATGTGGCCACGAGGAAGTGGCTCTAATTTTAATCAAGAAGAACCCAAATATGCTGTATTCGCTTAACAAGGAAGGCAAGTCTCTGCTGTATCTGGCCGCAGAAGCAGGATTTGTCACCATTGCCAAGCTCCTATTAGAGAATCCTGTGGGTAATTACAATGTTGGAGGAAAAACCGAAAACAAGTCACCAGTTTTTGCTGCAATCCTTGGTAGAAACATCGGTAAGTTAAGAGCAAAACCTCTCTTTTTTCCTATCTGCTGTTCTTCTTCAATCATCGAGAATGATGAGAGTTCCATTTGTTTGTTCAAAATTTTAGATGTTTTAAATTTACTGTGGGAAAGGGACCAATCGTCCTTCCAGCTAAGAAGTGGGAATGGAAAGAATCCTCTTCATGTTGCTGTATGCACCGAACATACGGATGGAGTAAACTTCTTATTGAACAAACATCATTACTTTGCTTACCAGAAAGACAAACGGGGATTCTTCCCCATTCATTCGGCAGCCCAGAAAGGCTTTATTGACATAATCAAATTGATTCTTCATAATCGCCCAGATACACGGGAACTACTGGCTACGCGTGGACAAAACATACTTCATATTGCAGCTAGAAGTGGAAAGTACAAAATTGTGGAATTTATGCTCAAAATGCCAGAGCTGGAGAAGCTTATTAACGAAAAAGATGCGGACGGAAATACACCTTTGCATTTGGCAACGATTTACGGGTATCCCAAGTTGGTGTACACTCTAATAAGGGATGAAAGAGTGATTCTTGAGCTGGTAAACAATAACCATCAGACAGCACTTGACATTGCTGCAGAACATATGGAACTAGAAATGGCATCGTTTCAGAAGGTAAGCCCTTTGCACAGACAAAGTCCAACACAAACTATTTAATACGTATTCAAATGAACTTTTCAATTTATAAATGCAGCGGCTAACATGGATGGCTTTGAGAGTTATTCGTGCCCCACAAGCACGTCAAACAAAGAATTTCAAAAGTGCAAGTTTCAGGGTAGGGAACCAGACAGAAAAAGAAAGTTGGAACGATAAGATCAATGTATTTCTGCTGGTGGCAACAGTTGTTGTAACGGTGACATTTACTGCAGGATTCACCATTCCCGGTGGCTATGACAATACAAATCCTGACCAGGGCATTACGACCATGTTAGAAAAAGTGAAGTTTCAGGTATTTGTGATTTGTGACACATTGGCAATGTACAGCTCCATCAGTGTTGCTGTTATTCTCTTAGGGGCACAGCTGGGAGATACTAGTTACACGCATGTTGCCTTAAAATTGGCTGTTCCACTACTCGGAATAGCCCTTGCCATGATGTCTATAGCATTCATGGCAGGAGTATACCTTGTAGTGAGCAAACTCAGTTGGCTTGCTAATGTTGTGTTGTTCATGGGCACTAACTTTGTCATTGCACTCACGGTACTCCTTATTCCACTCTGTTTCATAGGATTATCAAATTACCGCGTCTACTATTACATCTATTATTATCCATTGCTCCTGGTATTATACACAGTTGGTACCTAAGCACAGCCGCGCTGAAGTCCGGGATTGTCTCTAGAGGATAAGTGTCTTTCTTATCAAATTGTAAAAGTAAGGTATTAAAAATAAGTCAGTGCTTCATTGGGGTCAAAGATCAATAATCTGTTGGTCGGTCGAGTTTCAATTACTGGAAAGATTGCAGCTGTAGTAATATACAGGGCTTGAAGGGTTAAGAGTACTACCCTTCAGTTAGCAAGAAAAGAAAAAAATTGTGAGGATGTTCATGTAAAATATATGAATGTAATGAAAAGCTTTAAAACCGTCCCTATATTATGTTATCCAAAAATAAAGCATGTGAAAGTTTGTATGTTCCAAGAGAATGGAAGGTTAAACTCTGTTTTGAAGAACCACACCCTAGCTTTCTTTCTTGCTAAAATATATAGACTTACAAGACACATGCTTGTCAACAACTTTCTACCTACTCCAATCTATCAAGTTGACAACAATATATAAGACCATACTTGGATAGCTTACAAAAATTAAACTATCAACTATTTGTACTTAAATCACATGACATTAGATACAAAAAAGATTTAGCAACCATTTGATAGCAAAAACGTGATAGCAAAAGTGTCAACCTTTTCTCAACATTCCTCCTTGGTACTTTTGCTGGAAACACCAAGGTTGTTTCTTGGTGTTTCAAATCTTGCTTTGCCTAAAGACTTTGCTAATATGACTGCAAGTTGATCATCAGATTTACAATGCATCAGCTTTACTTCATTTCCTTCCTGAGCTTCTCTGGTTGAATGATATCTGATCTAAATATGTTTAGTTCTACCATGAAAAACTGGATTCTTTACCATAGCAACAATGGATTGATTATCACAATAGATAACTGTGGCCTCATTTTACTTGAACTTCGGATCTTCTAACATTTTCCTTAGCCAAATTGGTTTATTGGTAGCTTTTGAAGCAGATATGTATTCAACTTCAGCTGTTGATTGGGCCACCGATTTTTGTTTCATAGAATTCTAGCAGTTGATACATGAACCAACATAAAATATGTAGCCAGAAGTGCTCTTCATATCCTCAAAGCTCCCTGCCCAATCACTATCAGTGAAGCTGGTTAACTTGCACAATTCTGACTTCTTAAACCAGATCCCCATTTCTTCAGTTGCTTTGATATATCTCAAAACTCGTTTGGCTGCTTGAAAGTGCAATTCACTAAGCTCCTATCTGAATCTTGATAGAAGATTTGCAGCATATGTAACATGAGGTCTGGTTGCTGTTAAATATAACAAACAACCAATCAGACTTTTATAAATCTTTGCATCAACCTGCTTTGCACCATCTTCCTTCAACAATTTTGCATTTTGAACTAATGGTNATTCCAAGGAAATAATGCATCTCACCTAGATCTGTCATTTCAAAAACTTTCTTCAATTTATCAATCACTTCTCTAATTGATCTTTTGCTGCTGCCAGTGATATGACCATTCTTGTTTTCACTTGTTTTACATATAGAGTTTGTTCATTTAAGCTCTTTGTAAAACCAAGATAACCAAGGTGATTATCAATTCGACTATACTAAGCTCTTGGAGCCTACTTTAAGCCATATAAGGCTTTCTTTAATAGATACACTTTATCTTCACACTCTTCTATCAGAAAGCCTTCAGGATGCTCTATGAAGATCTGCTCATTCAGGTAGCCATTTAGGAAGGCTGATTTGGCATCTAATTGGTAGATTTTTCGACCACTTTGAGCTGCAATTGCCATAAGCAATCTCATAGTCTGTCAGCTAGTTTCCAAGTTTCATTTTTTTCAATCATCTTGATCTCTTCCTCCATTGCAGCCATCCAATTAGGTGATTTAGATGCTTCATCCAAGTTTGCAGGTTCAACTATAGCACCATTACATCTTGCATAAATGTTAGCTAAAGGCCTCATTTTTCACTCTACCAGTTTCTGATTCTGAATCATCATCAGGTTCTTTTTCATCTTTACTGATTCATCCTCCTCTGTTTTGAGGAATCAGTCATCTTGTTGTTTTTTCAACAGAACTTGCCTCCCAATTCTACATAGCTTCTTCATTCACCTTGATATCTCTGCTGGAGATTACCTTTTTTGAGTGAGGATTGAACACCCTATATCATTTAGCATTACTGTAATAACGAACCAATATCCCAACTTCATCCTTATCACTCAATTTATCCCTTTTTTGCATCAGGAATATGAGTGTAACAAACACTCCCAAATATTTTCAGATTTGAGATATCTGGTTTGACATCATACCAGGCTTCATATGGAGTCTTTTTCTCCAATGCTTTTGTTGACAAACAGTTGAGAAGATAAACAACAGTGTTAACTGCCTCTGCCCAGAACTCCTTAGATACTTTTTTTTTCTCAATCAAAAAACACCTAGCCATTTCCATCACAGTCCTATTTTTCTTCTCACTGACTCCATTCTGTTGAGGAGAATAGGGAATGGTTAGTTGATGCTTAACACCTCCAGCTTTACAGAAATTGTCAAGTTGTCCACAGTTATACTCAGTTCTATTATCAATTCTGATTTTCTTTATTTTGCAGCCACTTTCATTCTTCACCATTTTCTTGAATGTTTGAAACACAGTTGCAACTTCTAATTAAGCTTTCAAGAAATAGACCCAACACATTTTGGTTAAGTCATCAATGAAAAGGATGAAATATGTGATGCCATTCAGTATGGTTATTTTCATTGGACCACAGACATCTGAGTGCACTAACTCAAGCTTATTGACAGCTTTTCTTGACTAATTTTTAGGGAATGACAATCTCGTTTGCTTTCCAAGTTGATAGACATTATAGATACTGGCATCATTAGTGATTTAAGGCAGGCTTTCAACAAGATTAAAGTCATACATTTGCCTAAGTGAAGTATGGCTAGCATGACCAAATCGTCTATGCCATAAAGAAAACTCACTTTCTTTAGCTAAACATTCCAATCTATAGGAAAGCTTCTATTCCTCATTTGAACTGTCAATAACTCCTTTCCATTTTCATCTAGTATAGTGCAGGCTTTATCTTTAAACATTAAGACATGATTTTTCTCTAGTAATTGCCCTACACTACCTAGGTTCTGATCTATCTCAGGCACATATAAAACATTAGGTATATGTTTAATACCTGTTTAAGTCTGTACAGCAATCACCCATATGCCTTCCACCTCTACAAAGTCTACATTTCCTAATTTAACTCTAGACATGTAGGCTTTGTTCAACTCAACAAAGATGTTGGAGTCTGCAGTCATGTGGTGAGTGCAGCCACTATTCAATAACCAGGTTTCAACCTTACTTCAGGCCTTGATAGCAGAGAATAGGTGCTCTTCTAGTATTTCATCCTGGTTTTCTGCCATTTTTGCTTGCTGCTGAGGGTTTTTTCCCTTTTATTTTTGTACACTTTTTCAACATGGCCAAATTGTTTGCAGCCTTTACACGGAACTCCAGGCCTATACCAATACCATTTGGGCGAATGCCCTTTTCTTTTACAATGAGGACAAGGTGCAAACTTTTTCTCTTTGCTTCCAAACTTGCTGTCTTCTGATTCCTTCTTTTCAGATTGAAATTTCTTCATTCCAAGGCTGTTTGAGCTTTGCATTTACCCTTAACAAACAGAGCTCCTTCTGTTTGTTCCTTTTGCCTCTTCAGTCGTCTTTGTTCAGTTGCCTACAAGGCATTAACCAGCTCAGCCAAGGTTATAGATGATAGGTCTCTAGAATCCTCCAGTGATGATATCTTGGCTTCAAACTTTTCAGGAAGGCATATTAAAACCTTATCCCAGTAGTCTGATTTGTTTACAACCTTCATCATTCTATCTGAAAAATCATTTACAACCTCAGTGTCCTTCATTTTCGAAGTCTCAAATTCTCTTCTAAAGTTGAGTACTTGCATATGCCTTGTTCTTTCATTGCCTTGATATTCTTATTTCAGAATATCTCAAGCCTTATTTGTAGTCTCACAAGTCATGATTCTTGTGAAGATAACATCTAAAATGGCAGACTGAATGCAAGAGAGTGCTTTAACTTTTTGGCCATATCTTCACTATGCTGCTTAATCTGAGCTACGATTGGGTTTGCTCTCAAGGGTGGAGGCTTAACTCTAGTATCTGTTATCTAACACAAATCATAAGCTTTAAGGTAAGCTTTCATTTTTGCATCCCAGAAGTTGTTGTTTTCTTCAGTGAAGGTAGAGGGTAGTGGTGCTGAGAAACCACTTGAAGCCATTTACTTTTTTGTCAACTGAATATAACTTTGCTGATGGTTTCTTTTGTCTGCTGCTCCTGTCCTTCTTCCTTCCTTCTTACGGTCCTCCTTCTGAGATCAAAGGAGCTCTGATACCATGAAAGATTATATGTTCCAAGAGAATGAAAGGTTAAACTCTGTTTTGAAGAACCACACACTAGTTTTCTTTCTTGCTAAAATATATAAAAACTTACAAGACACATGCTTGTCAACAACTTTTTACCAACTCCAATCTATCAAGTTGACAACAATATATAAGACCATACTTGGATAACTTACAAAAGTTAAACTACCAACTATTTGTATTTAAATCACATGACATTAGATACAAAAAAGATTCAGCAACCATTTGATGGCAAAAACGTGACAGCAAAAGTGTCAACCTTTTCTCAACAGCATGAAACACATTGTTAAGAAATCTATCACAGATTTGGATATCATTTTGATTTCCCATTCGTTTGGGACGAGGTCCTTAAGATAGGTTACTATGTAACACATATCATTCAGATTGCTTGTTGAATCATCACTTTTTCTTACCGTTAACACATGGTGCGTACATCGTTCAAATGAAAGTTAAGGTCGACCATTATACACTAGGCTATAGTGTGAGTCCTCGTGTAGTACATTTCAATCACAGAAATATCTATAAAAGGCCAAGCCTTAGGCGACTTCATGAAAAATTCAGTTCATATCCTAAACAGAATCACATAAGGATAGACCTTGGGAGTTGTTCATTGACGGATATTCAGCAGGGGTTTGATTGGGTACTGG